TGTCCTGATTTGCCACAGGACTGACTTCCGCTGGCCATTTAAAAACCACCCAAACAATCTTTAAACAGCTTAAGAAGCGATCAAAGGTGTTCGTGTGCAACCTAGGCCAGCAACCTTCTTGAAAGGAGTCAGCCCAGTGTCAGTAACGTAGGTCAGAAGGGAATGCGTATAAATGAGTACAGCAGATGTAGCTCGAATGCTTTTTTTTTTTCCACTTAGGCATTTCATGAGTTGTATTTCCAGCTTATTCTTGAATTGGAATCAAATTGGAGAACACTTTGGTGGAAAAATCAGTGAGTCAGCAAACATTTGAGTGTCCATTGTGGGTCTGACACTAAGGAAATTATGGCTTTATCGAAACAATAAACAAACCCAGTGATTTTTTTCCTGCAGAACTTCCTGGTCATGTAAGTTCACCCACATGAAACAAGGCAAAGGAGGCTCAGAGGTCAGGTCGGCTGTCTTGGGGTTCCTCCGAGAAAGGAGGGGGTGTCATTGTTCTTGTGGAGTTTTGAGCTAATCATATGGCTGCATACGAAACATGATGAGATGAAGGCTTCCGATCAGTCAAATATCCTGGCATTAACCTGTGGTGTTTTTGAAACTGAGAGAAACGTCGTTGTGCCAGCCTTCCTCGTCAGTCTGGTATTCCATCTGGCATCTCAAACAAGGTAAACAAACCACGGCGTATTTTTCTTCCCCACAGAACTGCACCCTTCTCGTGATTAGGTCTGGGTACCGTGTGGCAATTGGAGTTGACTAGAATGGAGGTGGAGAAGCATTTTTGAAATCCACCCTCTTTGCAAATATTTAAAGTATAAAAATAAGTAGGCGAGTGACTGTCATATCTGTCAACTCGTTTCCATTCCTGCCACCCAAATGCAGGCCTCGATCAGGCTGTTCTTAGGCCATCAGAGCTGACAGCTGCCCCCAGTCCATCTATCCAGGGTAGAGATACTGAGATTCCCAAAGGACATTCTGAGGAAGAGTAGATGGTATTAGCACTGCTGTTTCCATGGCTTGCATTTTTGTTGAATGGGGTATAGGCGGCTCTTTAAAAAGTTCATGGAAAATGTGAATCATGCAGAAACTATGCATGGATTTCAAGAGTTTTGTGGCACCAAAATAAACTCTCCCTTTAATTCAATTTTTTCATAAACTCTTTGAATTTCCCATATATAAGATGGGGTGAAAATGCAAATGCAAAGGATGATAGAGGAGGTTTGGAGAGACCAATCAGGGAAGAGTGAAAGAGCTGTTAGGGTTAGCAGGAGAGATGGACCTTGGCGGGTGATTTCCATTGGGTTCCACGTGAATGCCCTTCCCTGACTCCCAGGAGGCCTTCAGTAAAACATCTATTTCTTGTTGCTGCGCCATGGAGTTGAATCTATTCATGGGGGACATTCATTTCTGCACCCATTCAACAAACAGTTATTACGTCTGCATTACACCTGACAGTGTGGTAGGTGCTGAGGATAAAGTAGTGAATAAAACAATCCCAGCACGTAACACCTTGCGTGACTACACACACCAGCTGGACAGACCGCCAAAGACTTCTGCCATATGAGGAAAGCCAATCCCGAAAGATTAACACCACGTGATTCCACATGCAAACCATTTTTGAGATGACGAAATGTTATACATGGCAGTTGCCAGAGGTTAGGGATGGGAGGTGGGGGGGAGGGAGGCAGCTGTGGCGATAGAAAAGCACCAGGAAGGGTCTTACGCTGATCTACAGCATCATGACAATGGTGGAGGAAACAGGAACTTGTGCATGTGGTAAAATTGTCTAAAACTAAACACACACACCCTCAACTGTGCACAAATAGCAGAAGTAAAACTGGAAGAATCTGAATAGGATTAGTGCACTGCATCTATGTCAATAGCTTGGTTGCAACGTTGTACTGTACATTCGGTTGTCAGAGAAGTGATGACACATTTTTGCATAGAAACCGATAGAAAAAGATGGCAAGACTTTTCTAACAACCCAACAGTTTTGCAAAATATTACTGTTGGGGGAAACTGGGTAAAAAAAACTGCATAGGATCTTTCTGTATTATTTCTTAGAACTCTACATGCAGGAACAATGATCTCAATACAAATTTCAATTAAAAAAACAAAAACCCTAACCTCCTGGCCTAATAGAGTCTACACTTCAGTGGAAGCTATGTGTGGCTTCATGGTGGTTGTAGCGCAAAAGCCAAGACTACCTGGAGAGGTCCGGTCCTTCCAGGGTATTCTACGCTCTGCCACGAGAGTTTCCTTCCTGTCCTCGGGCTACATGGAGTCCCCACTGGTGACCAAATGCAATCCAGACTCAGGAGAATGGGCAAGTGCAGGGTAAAGGGTGAGCCTCCCAGCTCTATGATCCCAGGGCACGTGTTCTTGGGAGTTACCCAGCCTGCCTATGCCCAAGCTCCTCTGACCTATAAAGACCAGACCCAGGGGCCAGCGGGTGGTGTGGCGGTTAAGGTGCTAGACTCCCACATGACTGGTTTGAGTCCTGGGCCTGGTGACTGGCTGCTTGCTTTCTCACTTTCTCTCCCTCTCTCTAATGAGCACATATGCCCTGAAGCAAATTAAAAATAACAACAAGAATAATAATAAATAACATTATATATATTAAAAAATGAAGACCAGATTCAGATACCCAGTAATTGGGCTCCCTGTTGATGGGGGCAGCTCCTGACTAGGCTTGGTCCCACCCCATCATGACCTGGCTTGGAGACCACTGGCTCCTTCTACTGTGCCTCAATGCCTGGTCTCTCCTGGCACCACATTCAGCTGGTGAATCCGTCATGTGATGCGGGTGTGGTGCTCGGCTCTGGTTCTCAGCAGCAGGCAGAACACCCGTGTCAGCCCTGGCCCCAGGACTCCATCCTGCATCCTACCCCCTTGGCCATGGCGAGTCAGCGCCTTGCCTTTCTCTGCCAAGGGGGAGGCTCACGCCGATCTGTCAGACTCACTGCTGGAACAAAGAGGCCTCTTGCTAGAGATGAACCATCAAGCTCGGCAACTCTAGTTTATTGCCTTAGAAGAACTTCAGAGGAAGAAGCCATGTAAAAATAAAATCAGCTCTGAGCAGACTTTCAAGTGTTGTGAAAATGCAAATGCAAAGGATGATAGAGGAGGTTTGGAGAGACCAATCAGGGAAGAGTGAAAGAGCTGTTAGGGTTAGCAGGAGAGATGGACCTTGGCGGGTGATTTCCATTGGGTTCCACGTGAATGCCCTTCCCTGACTCCCAGGAGGCCTTCAGTAAAACATCTATTTCTTGTTGCTGCGCCATGGAGTTGAATCTATTCATGGGGGACATTCATTTCTGCACCCATTCAACAAACAGTTATTACGTCTGCATTACACCTGACAGTGTGGTAGGTGCTGAGGATAAAGTAGTGAATAAAACAATCCCAGCACGTAACACCTTGCGTGACTACACACACCAGCTGGACAGACCGCCAAAGACTTCTGCCATATGAGGAAAGCCAATCCCGAAAGATTAACACCACGTGATTCCACATGCAAACCATTTTTGAGATGACGAAATGTTATACATGGCAGTTGCCAGAGGTTAGGGATGGGAGGTGGGGGGGAGGGAGGCAGCTGTGGCGATAGAAAAGCACCAGGAAGGGTCTTACGCTGATCTACAGCATCATGACAATGGTGGAGGAAACAGGAACTTGTGCATGTGGTAAAATTGTCTAAAACTAAACACACACACCCTCAACTGTGCACAAATAGCAGAAGTAAAACTGGAAGAATCTGAATAGGATTAGTGCACTGCATCTATGTCAATAGCTTGGTTGCAACGTTGTACTGTACATTCGGTTGTCAGAGAAGTGATGACACATTTTTGCATAGAAACCGATAGAAAAAGATGGCAAGACTTTTCTAACAACCCAACAGTTTTGCAAAATATTACTGTTGGGGGAAACTGGGTAAAAAAAACTGCATAGGATCTTTCTGTATTATTTCTTAGAACTCTACATGCAGGAACAATGATCTCAATACAAATTTCAATTAAAAAAACAAAAACCCTAACCTCCTGGCCTAATAGAGTCTACACTTCAGTGGAAGCTATGTGTGGCTTCATGGTGGTTGTAGCGCAAAAGCCAAGACTACCTGGAGAGGTCCGGTCCTTCCAGGGTATTCTACGCTCTGCCACGAGAGTTTCCTTCCTGTCCTCGGGCTACATGGAGTCCCCACTGGTGACCAAATGCAATCCAGACTCAGGAGAATGGGCAAGTGCAGGGTAAAGGGTGAGCCTCCCAGCTCTATGATCCCAGGGCACGTGTTCTTGGGAGTTACCCAGCCTGCCTATGCCCAAGCTCCTCTGACCTATAAAGACCAGACCCAGGGGCCAGCGGGTGGTGTGGCGGTTAAGGTGCTAGACTCCCACATGACTGGTTTGAGTCCTGGGCCTGGTGACTGGCTGCTTGCTTTCTCACTTTCTCTCCCTCTCTCTAATGAGCACATATGCCCTGAAGCAAATTAAAAATAACAACAAGAATAATAATAAATAACATTATATATATTAAAAAATGAAGACCAGATTCAGATACCCAGTAATTGGGCTCCCTGTTGATGGGGGCAGCTCCTGACTAGGCTTGGTCCCACCCCATCATGACCTGGCTTGGAGACCACTGGCTCCTTCTACTGTGCCTCAATGCCTGGTCTCTCCTGGCACCACATTCAGCTGGTGAATCCGTCATGTGATGCGGGTGTGGTGCTCGGCTCTGGTTCTCAGCAGCAGGCAGAACACCCGTGTCAGCCCTGGCCCCAGGACTCCATCCTGCATCCTACCCCCTTGGCCATGGCGAGTCAGCGCCTTGACTTTCTCTGCCAAGGGGGAGGCTCACGCCGATCTGTCAGACTCACTGCTGGAACAAAGAGGCCTCTTGCTAGAGATGAACCATCAAGCTCGGCAACTCTAGTTTATTGCCTTAGAAGAACTTCAGAGGAAGAAGCCATGTAAAAATAAAATCAGCTCTGAGCAGACTTTCAAGTGTTTATTATTTCATATTATGCCATGCCTTGCATGAAATGAGCACAAAGCCACATGCCTTCCTGGCCACGTGACTTACTCACAGGGCATGGCTGAGAAAGTGAGCTCTCCCAGACAGTCCCTTAGGGAGGGGAGAGGGATGGCAGGAAAAGGACAGGGAGGACGGGCAGGGGTAAATATTCACCTGTCTCTTCTCTACTCGGCGAGCAGTTGCTCATTCTAAAAACAGTAATGTGATTTAATGCAACTTCTGATTCACAGTCAAGGTCTTCATGATAAAGGAAAGGAGCTTTCTTAGAAGTGCTAGAGCCTGTTAATAAAAATGTGACTTTCAAATAGGTTTTTTATGGCCAAAAGAAAATGAAAAGAAAAGATACTGACCAACTCTATCTCCATGCCCATATCAAAGCACCCAGAAAGGATAAGTGCAAGATAAAACGAGGGCCCTCTTCTCCACCCAGTGAAAGGCGTCAAGCATGGAGTCCCAGAGAATCCTCCGCCTCCCAGGGCCAGGCCCTGGCAACATCAGGTCGGTGGGGCTGCATGCGAGCCCGCAGCCCGGTCCCGCTGCTCCTCGGGAGGGGCCTGCTTCCTCGCACCCTCTCCTGCATCTGGGATGAACAACCCGTGGAGGTCCAAGTGCAGCTCCACATCCACATAGGCACGAGCCAGCTCCGTGAAACTCTTGGCATCCAGAATAAGCAGAAAAGGAGGCTTTTGGGGGTTGGTAGAGACGATGGCTGATAAGATAACTCCTTTGGAGAAATAAAAACAGACGCTTGGTCAAAGTGCAGCCTGGAACCTCCTCCAACTGGAAGGGTATATTTCTCAGTCCGTCTCCTTGTCCTCTTTGAACTCATCTAATCCGAACAGGAGAGAAGTGCATTTGTTCCTCTGTGTGAGCAGAAGGGAGATGCCTGGGAACAGGGATCAGCTAGGCCAGTCCCTTGGGCTCTCTGAACCTCGGTCTCCTCATCCGGACAGTGGGATGACCCTAACTACCGTTGCAGCGTAGCCGAGGACCTCCTTCACGGTGGACGCTTTGTAAATTATTGCAGGTGTGGAAGAAGGGCTCTTTTCCCACTATTTAAAGGCCGATCACAGGGACTCGGCTTTCAGGGCTGCACTTCGGTTAATATGTGCCACTCAGCTGCACCCGGACACCTTGCACTCAGAGGGCATCTGAACGAGCCCATTCACCTCTTACATGTATGGCAACACTAATTCCCTTAGCCTCCTGCTCTAGCAACAAATATTTTCAGTACTCACTTTCAAGGGATAGACAGAAACTTCCAGCCTGGCGTGAGCACCTCGCAAATGCTCGATTCCTGCCGAGGTGTCTGTGCTGCAGAGCCACTGAAGTCAGACTGGCCGGGGTCAAAATCCTACCTCTGCAGGTCATGGTCTTGTGATCTGGGGCTGGCTCTCTCTCTCTGAGCCTCCCCTCAGTAAAGCGAAGACCATCAGACTTTCTGCCCTGACAGGACGTGTGGGGAGTACTCTCCCAGCCAAGGGGGGACGAACTCAGAGCCAGTGATACCAACATCCCACCTCAGAAAAGACGGGAACATGGGGCCCACAGCCTGACGGGCCCTGCCATGACCGACAGGAAGACAGGCTCCCTTCTCACCTGAAGGAAGAAACTGGCAGGCTCGGCGGGACACCCTCCCTCTCTGCAGGTGTAGGCAGCCCGTGACCTGCTGGGCTGGGTGGCGCCCCACACACAGTTCTAGATACCCTCCTCAGCATCCCCAGGGCTGTGGGCGGGGCACAATCAAGGAGGGAAAGGACCATCTGGTCATTTAGAAACCTATAAAAGATAGGTGGGCCACGGATGTCCATTTCTAGATGTTCCATGACAACAATATGTGCTTTTAAAGGTAGAGTTTTGGATCCAGCCATTGCAATGAATTTTAAAACCAAGATTCTATGTTCTGGAAGTGTTTTGTGTCACTCGGTGCTCCAAACACTGAGTGGACTTGATGCAGTATTTAATTTCATTTCACCCAAAGAGAGCTTTAACCCCTGGAGGTTACCTCGAAGCCCTGAGAATATCTTGTCTCATGGGAGAATCTTTATTTACCTGGGCCTGGGGCCATGCCAGGTAATCTATCCTCACAATGTGACTTATGGTGAGGCCTTGGGCCACACAGTGTCACCTTGACCTCAAGAGGGAGGTCAAGCCACAAAGGCGGCCAGCCACGTCCACATGACCCAGCCCCAGTGAGAATGCTGGGTACCAGGGCTCCGGTGAGCATCCGTGATCGGCAATATCCCACGCGTGCTCTCACACGTCGTCATCAGAAGTCAGTACTATCCGTCACTCCACTGGGAGGGGACAACTGGAGGCTCTGGGCCTGGCCCCTCCTGGACCCTGCCCTGTGCTTTGCTTCCCTTTGCTGATTTTAATCTTTCCGGGCAGGAACCCATAACCACAACTATAGCAGCGTTTATGGGTGCTGCCGTGAGCCCCTGAGCTAGGGTGAAGGGGGTCTTTGGGACTTCCTGGCAGCTCTGACTCCAACAGACTAGACCCCAAAGCGGGACTTGCTCGGTGTGGGGGGGGGCAGCTGCCCTTCCATGATGTCTGTGCTTCAGGAGAGGCAGCCACGTGCGGCCAGGGGCTCGCTGTCGCCCGCTCTTACCGTCATCCTCATCCTTGGCATCTGGCGCAGGCACAAACAGGGGCTCCGCCGGCCAGCAGCCTTCTTCCTCCCACTTAAAGGACGACTTTGTGAGGATGTCGTACTTTATTATCTGTGCATCCAAGGAGGAGAAACACAGGTGTAAGTGTCTAAGAGCGTGTGAATCCCTGTGGTGGGAAGGCCCACGTGGAGGGGAGCTCAAGCTCCTCAAGGCAGACTTTTTTTTTTTTGGAGAGGTTTTTGCTATAGGGCACATGTGCTCACCAGAAAGACAGAGAGAGACATAGAGACAGAAAGCGAGGAATCACCCCCCAGGGGGGATGGCCACGCCGTAATCCCTTCTCCTCCATTCTCCTCTCGGGATCTTGGGCATGTAAGCACACGTGCCCAGCGTGAGTTTAAGCCACCGGGTCCAGGACTCGAACCATGGTCGACTACATGGGAGTCCAGTGACATAGCCATTATGCTAACTGCTGGTCCCGCCCACATTATTTTTAAGCCTCCAGGTCTGGGACTTGAACTATAGTTGGCCATGTGGGAATCCAGCACCTTAACCACCATGCCACCGACTGGCCTCAGTACTATAATTCTTTTAAAGTTTATTTCTTCCATGAGCAAGAAAGAGAGAAAGGGAAGGTAGAGACAGCACCCCAAAAGGGTCCCAATGTCCCAATGCACCCCTAGCTTTTGGTCAGCTCCAGATCACACACATCCAGTATACTCAAGAAACTCCTCAGATTCGAACCAGCAACCTTCCCCTGTGGGGCTGCCTAGCAGAGTGTCACATTTTCCTGCAGCACCACCATCCAGCCCCATATTTCAATTTTTATTAAAATTGTACTAAATAAAATAATGTATTCAGTGTAAACATTTAAAGAATAATGGGACCAGCAGTTAGTGTAATGGCTGTGTTGCTAGAATCCCATGGAGTTGACCACAGTTCAAGTCCTGACCCGGTGGCTTAAACTCACGCCGGGCGCGTGTGCGTGCATGCCCAAGATCACCGAGAGGAGAATGGGGGAGAAGGCATGGCCATCCCCCCTGGGGGGTGATTTCTTGTTTTCTGTCTCTCTGTCTCTGTCTCTGTCTGGCCAGCGCACACGTCCTATAGCAAAAACCTCTCCAAAAAAAGAAAACAAACAAACAAAAAGAAGAAGGATGCAATTCCTTTGTTGCTTTAAAAGTGCAAGTGCCTGACCTCCCCTGATCTCTCGGGGCCATTTCCCTTCGGGGTTAGGATTAGTGAGGAGTGGCATGGGGTGTGTGTGTGGGAACCTTGTTTTTGGCCTTGTGTATTTCTGCACTGTTGGCTTTTTTTTTTTTTTTTAATCTTCCCATTTTAGTATTTAAAAATAAAAATGTTAAGGAAAAGTGATGTTTGTATAGCACTTAGCACAGTGCCCAGGACTCAGTAAGTTCTTTGACAAATAGTAGCTTGAAAAAAGCCAAAATACACCCTCCACGTTTCGGCTGAGCCCTACCTGTTTGAGAGGGTGAGTTGAAGTGCAGGGGTCAGGACCCCTGCTGCCTCGCTCCTCCTCAGCGCCTACCACAGTGTAGCCCAGAGCTGGCGTCAGTCAGCATGGACTCCATAAAGCACCCAGTGACCGAGTTCCAGCCGTGACCCCTTGCGTGTACTTCGGCCCAGTAGGCAGGACTCCCTCTCCTGGACGGGCCACCACTAACTTCAAATTTATTTTGTCTCAAACTGACCTCCCTCCTGATCACCTCTTTTCTGATCACGGTCACTCAGTGCGGACAGCTGTGCTCGCTGGGAGGCCAGGCAGCCCTCGGTCACACCGGAATCAGTACCTTGGTCGGGACTGGGCTCCACTGCACTTCAGCTGCAAAGACGTATCGGTACTGCTTCCCGTTGTGAGCGTAGTTGATCCGAGGCAGCTCCAAGCCTAGGAAGAAACGAGATGGCCGATGAAGGCCCTGTCACCAGGGGCTGGGGGCATCCCCCCTCATGCCAGGCTGAGCATTGTTACCCCAGAAACAGTTCTCAGCCAGGATCCCCAAACTTGACTCAGACCCTGTATGGGATCAGAGGTGGCCAAGGGCAGGGAAGGGCGCGTCTCATAATTACCCGGCTCTATTAGAAGGTTCGGGACCGTGTACTATAGACCCAGGTTTCTAAGTGTATAAACATCTTTAATTACCCAAGATAAGAATCAAATAGATTGCAGGAGTAAAATCAGAGGCTACTGCAATTTCTTTTTAAGTACTGATGGATGTGTGTGTGTGTATGTGTGCACGTGTGTGGGTGTGGAGAGAAACTGGAAGCCAGGGAAAGTAGTACCAATGGGAATAGTTAAATAAACCTGGCGAATTCCGAAGTAACAGTAGGTAAAAACGGTGCTGGAGAGCAACTTTAATAGCATGGGTACATGCCCATGCCGTGAGGGTAAGTGTATGAGCCTGTGGAATTATCTCCCCTGCTACGAATGAAATAGTACAGCGCTTACGACTACCTTACACTTTGCAATCTCCATTGTAGATTCTAATGTCTCACTGGGGATCTTTGCATTATGCCTATTACTTTCATTGTCCAAAACAGACATTTAAAGAGGCCAGCAGGTGGCATGGTGGTTAAGGCACTGGATCCCACATGGCTGACCCTGGTTCGAGTTGTGGACCTGGCAACTTGAAAATCACACTGAGTGCATGTTATGTGTGCCCAAAATCCCCAGAGGAAAATAGAAGGGATTGCGGCGTGGCGATCCCCCCAGGGGAGGGGGTGATCTCTCCCTCTCCCTCTCCCTCTCTCTGTCTCTCTCTCTCTAGCAAGCACACATACCCTATATCAAAACCCTAAAAAATTTTTTCTTTTAGATTTCATAAATAAATTTATATATATTTATATTTGTCTTTTTGGTCTGAATGTCTGTGTCTGAATACTGAATAAGAAGGAAGGTCTCCTTCTTATAACTAGTCGAGGTGGCTCAAGCCAGCTGCTGGTGAAAACACAACGTCCAGAGTCAGACATGCCCTCCACAGGAAGGCCTCGTGGGAAGGACCCTGAGGACTTCGTGCCTATCAGGCTCAGTGGGGACACGGAGGGAAGGGACTGCTGAGATGGGAAGGAGAAGGCAGTCCTACTACGGAGCCATCATGGAACTAACTTCCAAGGGACAGGTCGAGACCAACATGCGGAGGAGGGATCACTCACATGGATAAGAATGGAGGTGGAGAAGCATTTTTGAAATCCACCCTCTTTGCAAAGAGATGCTCCTGGCCCCTCTGAAACCTGGTCTGGTAAACCCCTGATCCCTGCCCCACGAACGGCCCACCATACTCACTTGTGAAGAGGTTCGCCTGGAAATTCTGCATGCAAGTAAAAGTCACGTTCTTCAAGAATCTTCAGTGTATGGGGAGATACTCAGGCTACATTTACTGAGTGAAAGACACGGTTCTAGAACATTCTAGATGGTATGGTGCTGCATTCTGGGAAAGTGTAAATGCAGAGGCTGAGGGCCGTGGAGTGTGAAAGCCCAGGCTCAGACCCTGCCCAGCTGCCTGCCTTTTGGCTAGTTTAGGCTTGCTCTCCTTAGCTCTAAAAAGAAAATCGGAAGTAGTAACATATCTGAGTTGTTTAACGTCGGCCCCTGTTTGCTAGACTCTCACTACAGGCCAGGCCCCAAGCTAAGCCCGTAATGTGCTTGGACCCCTCTAATGTCGGTGAGGACAGGATAGACTGCGGGATGAAATGAGAGGGGTTTGGGGAGCTGCTAAGGAGGGCCCAGCATGTGCCTCAAACCCCACACACGAAGGAAGGCCAGATGGGAATCCCAAAGGGCCATGACGGTGGAGGATTACAGGCGACTTGTCTGTCACGCTCTGCAGCTTTGCACCATAAATATGAACGAGCTTCTCATGAGGAGACAGAAAGGGACTGTGAGGTTCTAAGCCTCTGTCTCCCGTGTCATGTGGTGGGTGAGTGGGCACGGAAGCTGCTGATACAGGAATCGGGACCACGTTCTAGGAATTCATTTCTGAGGCGCCACACAGAACTACCTGTAGGGTCTGGGGGATGCTATCTGCAGAAGGGGAGTCTCAGAGCAGCTCTGAGGCGGTCCTGGGAGAGTCTCTGGGATGGTGCCTGAGGCTGGCGGGCATGGCCACCTGAGCAAGGTGCTGGCTTAACACTGCGCCCTTCAGTTGAGGGTCCGTGGGCGAGCTGCTGTTCGTTCTATGTGCTTGGGTGTGGGACACAGACCCTGCGATGCCGGGCTGTGTGTCATGTGCTGCAGTACAGAAACACGGAGGCCTCGTGGCTTATATTCTAGGGTGAGGACTCTCGGCTGGGCACAGTGTCCCCACAGGACAGCGGCAATGTCTGGAGCTTCTTTGGTTCTAATTCTGGGTAAGGGATGCTCTGACATCGAGGCCAGGGATGTGGTGAAGACCCTCCAGTGCCAGAACAGTCTCCACCAGTGAGAACGACCTGGCCCCATTGTCACTAGCACCTGCGTGGGAAGCCCTGCTCCTGCAGGGTGAGACTCCTACTCTAGGAGTAGCTCATTCTGTGAGTAGCTCAAGGTCTCTCAGGCCTGACGATGCCTGCTTTGCAAGGTACCATGAACACACAGTGGTAGAAATTCAAGTGAATTGTGTCTGGTCAATGAACCAGTATTCACTCAGTAAGCTGCAGCATTTGCAGAAGGCAACTGTGAAAGTCGTCTGGTCCAACAACCACCAGTGCCTCCCTTCGAGGTGTTTGAAAATATAAGGGACTTCAGAATCCATGGAAAAACGAAATCCGGATATGAGTTTATGCTGGTGCAAAAACAAAACAAAACAAAACAAAACAAAACAAAACAAAAAGGAAAAAAAACAAACAAAAAAAACCAGAACTGAAATCCATTATATGCCTTTGCCATGAGTTTTTTTTAAAACATCTCATATATGAAAGAGAAACAGGCCCACATGCTCTTCCCTGGAACATTCCAAGACAAGAGCCTTTCCTCTTAGTCCACTGCCATGTATCAGAGGGACATGGTAGACAAAGAGCCCTTGGGAGTCTCCATGAAAATCTGTCCCGTCCCAAAACACAGGGGTAGAGAAAGCATCTTACCTTCACAAAGCAATTCTGGCTGACAGTAGACTTGACCATCTTTTTCTTTCAGGGCTGTTGCTGTGGTAGATGCCACTTTGATTAAATTTGAGCCCTCTTCTGCATTCTGAAAAGAATTTGTTTTGAGAAAAAGGAGGAAAACTTGTTATTTAGAGCCAATTTTGCTTCATTGTATGTAAAAAGGAGGAAAACTTGTTATTTAGAGCCAAATTTGCTTCATTATATACATTTATTTTATTTTATTAAGAATTATTTAATCTTATTTATTCATTCATATTTTATTTTATTTTTTAAAGACACTTGATAGAGAGAGAGAACAAAGGAAAGTGAGAAGGCAAGACACCAGCTCTGGGACTTGCTGGTCATGTGGGAGTGTCCAGTACCTTAACTACCATGTCACTGCTGGTCCCCCCACTATATACATTTTAAAAAATGTATTGGGGGCCAGCAGGTGGCTTGTGTTAAGGCATTAGACTCCCACATGGCCAACCATGGACCTAGAGACTTGCTTTCTCACTTTTCCTCTCTCTCTCACTCTGTTGCATGTGTGTGCCCCATAGCAAAATTAAAATAATAATAATAATAAATAAAAGCAAATAAATAACTCTTTGAAAAAGGTGCTTTGGTGTGTGTTCTCCTGTTTGGGCTCCTGCTAACCACAGGAATCAGCTATCCAGTTGTTTCTCTTAGTTAAAAAAATAAATACATAATGAGGGTTGACCATTGGAAGTGGCTCCCCTCGGGTCACGTGGCTGACGGGTGGTAGAATCAGACCTCTGGTAGAACCTGTGCCCCTTTTTCCTTATTCTGGGCTGCCTTATCCCTCACAGGGAAAAGTGATGTGCTTACGAGAGTCAGTTCTCACTTTTTAATACTGGATGATTCACAGGTAAACGGCCGCATCAGTCATTAAAGGATGTTTCTAAAGAGCTTGCCATAACATGGGAAATGCTTAGCTGTAGCACTGAGTGAAAAAGGCATCAGAACTAATTATAAATGCAGCCTGAGCTCAAAAATTTCACCAAAAGAGGCTGGGAGAAGATGCAAATATTAACAAAACATCAGATGGTAGGATTATGGGGGACTTGAATTTCTTTTCCTGTGTGTCTGTATTTTCAGTATTTTCTCCAGTGAAAATGTCTCACTGCTGAAATGGAAATTACATGCAATAGAAATGATTTGGGTGAAAAGCACCTTTTTGGGTCTCGAGTTACAACTAGTCTTTGCTCTGTTCAGTACCTTGCCCTCATCCTTATAACCTAGGAGAGGGATCTGACATAGTTATTATTGGACATCTACGACTCCCACTGTCTCTGTCTTCCAGTGGCGGAACCTGCAGCAAGCTATGTAGCCCCGCTGCAGCTGGGTTTCCTAGGTGTGCAATGAGGGTGATAACACAGACACATAAAAGTGCTGCGCAGATCAGATGAGATTACCCCTGCAAATGGTCCCCAAGGCCCAGGTGCTCTACAACTGCTCTGTTTGAAGATGAGGTTGTTATTGTTACATTGTTATTATTTAAAAAAAATTTTTTTAGAGGTTTTTGCTATAGGGCGTGCACAGTCGCCAGAAAGACAGAGAAAGACAGAGAGACAGAAAGTGAGAGATCATCCCCCAGGGGGGATGACCATGCCACGATCCCTTCTCCTCTATTCTCCTCTTGGGATCTTGGGCACGCACTCACACCTGGCATGAGTTTAAGTCACCAGGTCCGGGACTCAAACCATGGTCGACTACCTGGGAATCCAGTGACATAGCCATTACGCCAACTGCTGGTCCCACATTGTTATTATTTTTAATCTGTTGTAGGTTGCATGTGCTCACTGGAGAGACAGAGGGAGAGGGAGTAGGGGGAGTAAGAACCACGCCCCCTCCATGGGAGATGTTCATGCTGCAATCCCTCCTCCTCCATTTTCCTCTTAGGATGTTGGGACTGTGTACACACACACCCAGAGTGTTTTTTAAGCCACTAGGTCTGGGACTCGAACTACACAGTCAGCCACATGGGATTTAGTTACCTTAGCCACCAACACTAGTAGCTTTTGTAATTAAAGCCAACCATTTTTTAATGATGGCAGCAGTTTTTCTAGGAAAGGGGAAAGTTTCTTGCATCCCAAAGGCTGTGAGAATCCTTAGAAATTTATTTTGCTTGCTTTTTGTGTCCTTCAAGATTCCTTAGTTCAGTCCTTTAATTTATAGAAGAGGAAAGTGAGGCCCAGAGAAGAAAAGTGTCCAGAGTCACGCGGAGAGGTGGAGCCTGGCTCAGGCCTCACACTGTGGTACTTCTGCCCCGAAGCAAGAGCACTGCAAGCAGAGGGCACGTGGGTGCAGAGGCCCGAGCTGAGCTGGCGTCAGTACTGGAGTCTCAGCTCGCAGAGCCCTCCCCTAACAGGTCGCCCTGAATCTGCAGTCTCTGAGGCAAGAGTCCCAAGCTGTCGCCCTCTCCTTGACGGAGCTGCTTCCTCTCCTACCTCTTCTTTTCTTTAATGTCTGCTATAGGATGCATGTGCTCGCTGGAGCGAGACACAGAGAGAGAGAGAGAGAGAGAGAGAGAGAGGGAAGGTGGGAAAGCACCCCCCAGGGGAGAGGGCCACTCAGGATCCCTTCTCCTCTGAGGATCTGGAGTGTGCATGTACACGTGCCCAGTGTGTTTTCCAAGCCCCGAGGTCCAGGACTCAAACTGTGCCATTGGCTATTGGGATCCAGCTGCCTTCACGACCGTGGTACCCGCAGCTGGCCCACTGCCTCTGTCTCTCATGCTTCTGTGTCCCATGAAGGCACGGACCAGGTTTTGTCCAGTGAATGGCATTTGGTGGCCAGGAAATGACTGCTGAAAGCATGAGTGGATGGCCGACTTGTCAGCTTTTCCTCCTGCCACCTCGAGGTAAGACAGGTGGTGCGGGGAGCGGGGTGTAAGAATGAAGCGAGAGTAGGTGGCCTAGTGGTTAAGGCGCTGGACACTCCCACATGGCCAACCATAGCTGGAGTCCCAAACATGGTGGCTTGCTTTCTCACCCCACACCCCCACCCTGGCTCTCTTTGGTTAAATTAAAAATAATAATAATAATAATAAGTGAATGAATAAATAAAATTAAATAAATAATTCTTAAAAAAAAATAAAGAATGAAGCAAGAGGAAGCATGAGGACAGAGCGCCGGTGCAGGGCAACCATGGCGTTCTACAAACTGGAGCTCTCCACTGGAGCTCTGAGGGCTTCCTCGGGCGGACCGGTACCTCGCTGGGCACATGACAGCAGCAGGCCCTTGGGCAGGTCCCGGCCCTGATTCTCAAAACGCCAGCCTGAAACTGGTCAGACTGGTTGAGGGATGAACTAAATTTTCCATGCACCGCAGCAAGGCCATGACGCTGCCGCTTTCTGTAGGCAGCGCACTCAGGTCGGGGTGGGAGCGGCTTCCCAGACAGAGCTCAGCACAGTCCTGCTGTTTGCTTGGAAATCCCTGCACTTGGGGAAACTCCTGCGAGAGGCAGTGACTTGATTGTCCCCCCCCCTTCCCCCCACGGCTGATACTGCCATGATGTTCTGGGCTGGTGGAGTGCGACTGATTCTCAGTGTGAAAGTGAGCAGACCCCTGCCTCACTGAACCTGCTTCCTAATCTGTAAACTGGGGGTGGCGATCTGTAACCTTCGGACTTGTGCTGCATGTAAGCGAGGCCTAGGTAAGCCCTAAGCCTCTGTCTGGGGCTATGGTCAGGACGTAGTTAAACGACAGCCATGAAAACACCTGTGGGGCAGGCACGCCCTAGTTGGTGCCTTGGAGCCAGACAGACACACATTCAGGTCCCAACGCAAATCTCGGGACTACATCTGAGACGTTGGGGGGATGCCCGGTTACTCTCTCTCATCCTCAAACACAGGGAAACGAAAGCTCAGGGGGTGTCATGTGGGTTAGGAAAGCATTTAACAGTACCTAAGATCTGCAGGACCTGGGACGGGAGGACAGACGGAGGCCCGTTCGCCCTACCTAAGTACATTGAGCCAACTCAGAAAAATAACATCTCTCTCCCTACTTTGACTTATAGCAGGGAATCTTCAAAAAGTTCTTGAGAGCTGACACTGCAGCCTAGCGGCTAGGAGAAGTGGATCCCACATGGCCGACCGCAGTTCGAATTCTGGCCCCAGCAGCTTGAGAACATGCTGGGTGCGTGTGCATGCTCAAAAACCAAAGGAGGGAGAAATGGAAGAAAAGGGATTGCTGTGTGACCACCCCTCATTGTGGGGTGCTTCCTCCCATTCTCTGTCTCTCTCTGGAGAGCATGCACAGCCTCGGACAGTTAACAGCCACCAAAAACAATAACAAAGAATTTTGGAATATGTGTATTATGAAAAAAAAAAAAAGCTACGCATAGATTTCATTTTTCTCCTGCATCAAAATAAACTCATACTTTATTTTCTCCCACGACTCTTTGAAGCCCCTGGCAGACCTTCCTGATGTTGTGGAGCTGCACTGCCTGTGTGGTGACCACTGGCTATACGTGGCTACTTTTATTTACTTATTTATCTAGAGAGATTTTTTGCTCTAGGGCATGTGTGCTCACTGGAGAGACAGAGAGAGAGAGAATGAGAAATCACCCTCCCAGGGGAATGACCATACCATCCCTTCATCTCTATTCTCAAGATTCTGGGCACCCATGAGCACGCACCCAGTGTGAGTTTCAAGCTGCCAGGTCCAGGACTATGCCACCTGCTGATCCCTAAATTTAATTCTAAATTAAAATTTGAAAATATCAAGTAAAATGAAAAGTTCAGTGCCTTGTCTACACTAGCCTCATTTCAAGCGCCAGCAGCCCTCGACGTCGGGAGCTACTGTGCAGAGAGGTTGTTCCAGCTCCATGGCAGGCTCTACCGCACAGTGCCAGCCCGGGAGGGAGTGTGGATGTGGAGTTCTGGGGCTCCGTGGAGTTCCAGTCTGGAATAAGGTGGCCTACTGAGAGCTAATCTCTGGGCTTGGCTTCCTCCCTCCAACCCGGTTCTGTCCTTCATGGATGTCCCAGCTGGCACAGCCCAGCCGACGCCAGGCCTGGCAGGCCCTGGAAGCAAGCCTGGGCCATTTGGGCAGGGAATTGTAGGATCCCAGGAGTCTAGAG